TGACTCAGAAACCAAACTTTGTAACGATTTGACGATAGTTGTTATGCTTACGTAGATGCGAAACAATTTCACATAGCCTCGTTTTCCACTCGCAATTCCACGCTAAATACCTCGCTTCGTTAACCAATCAGAATGCGAGATTGTATTCAATGATGCGATTCTGTAACAAATAGGTTCCATGCTGCCTGGCGTTTGTTCAGTAATAGATAATATATTACGTCAAATTTTGGTAAAAACAGAAAAGGGGCACACGAGAAGCAGCCGAATGTATCACTGACGTTCTTGTGTATCACCATCCTGTAACAGTCGAAGTTAGATTCACCTACAGGTCGCCAAAAAATTATAGGAATCAGATAACTTCTTTCTATTATCGAATAAACAAAAGTTCCTAAAAGTGTTAAAATGCTCTTTAAGTTTCTTGTCAAAACCAGTGTTGACATTAATTGAATCTCAGAAGATTATTTCGACTACAGTCATTAATCAACCTTCAGCGAGTAGCGTGAGCACGTAAAAAGTTACTGATACATCATCTGAGTGTTTTACATCATTTCATTCTTACGTAGAAATGAACTTAGATATTGCTTTACGGATTATCATTCGCACACTGTCATATTTTTCCTAAAGCATTCAAACTCCATTGACCGAGAATCATTGGCTTTTTTTTTTTTTTTTTCTCGAAACGGCGGGAAAAAATGGATAACCAAGTTAGGTATTCAACAGCGAATTGAAACTTTCTCATTTCCACAAATTAACTTTAAAGTTTTGAGCTCCTCCCGTTCGGCCTCAGAGTTTATTTCTTTCTCTAGTAAACATGAGATTTATCGGTCAGTTCTTTATCTTACAATGACGTGCTCTGTATTCAAACGATATACAAAACAGTGTACAGGGTGTATTCAACTTGGTATCAAGGGAATTTTAGACGCTTGGACATTAGAGTTCTAGAAGTGAAACAACTCTTTAAGTAAACATTTTTCTTATCAGACGTCATGCATTAAGACAATTTTTTTAATTGATTTTTCATGGAGGCCTTGATCAATTACCAAAATAAGGGCTGCAAAAGAAATATATGGGTTCATAGATATACATATTTTTTTAAAGTAACAAGTGGTTATAAACCTATAAAGACTGATCAATAAGATATGAGACTATT